TTTATCCTCACTTTGTAAAGAAAGAGATATGTTTCTAAGTATGGTACTTTTCTTGGGTCCTTTTTCCAATCATCTTGTCCTTCTCTTCATGGTAGAATGTAAGTGAAGATTGGACTCCCTTTTGTCTTCCTGTTTCTGTCCCCATACCTCCTCTTTCTTCTCATTCTTGTAACAATGGTATTCCTTCTCTTCCTCCTATGTGTTGGCCTTGGTCATGGTAGCAGTTCTTCATAGTATAGTAAGAGGGTGGCTCTTGAAGATGAATGCCCATTAGTATCTGATCTCCTGGACTTGGGTAATCTTGATTCTGTTATTGATTTTGACCTTGATCTTCCTATTGCCATTTAGAAAGGAAAGAGGATATGCACCAAGTATCCCATTACTGTGTTTTATGATGCTCTTTCACCCTCCTATTGTGCTTATATTTTTGCCATTTCTTTTGTTTTCATCCCTTGCAATGTTGCAGAGACAATGCAACCTCCACTGGAAGCTATGAACCAAGAGACGGAGGCCCTACTAAAGAACCATGCTTGGGAGATTGTTCTTTGTCCCAAGAATAAGATTCCTATTAGGTGTAAGTGGGTGTATACTATTAAGCAGAAGACAGATGGTTCAGTTGAGAGGTACAAGGCTCAACTTGTGGCCAATGATACACTAGACCTATGRCATTGATTATGTGGAAACCTTTGCTCTGGTTGCTAAAATGAACTCTATTTGTGTGTTCATGTTTGTCTCTTGTTGCCCACTAATCTTAGGCCTTTATATCATATGGTTGTGAAGAATGCTTTTCTTCATGGGGACTTACAAGAAAAAGTTTATATGGATTTACCACCTGGGGTAAGCTTTCTTAACATTGAAGGGAAAGTTTGCTGCCTAAAGAAGTCCTTGTATAGGCTTAAGTAGTTCCCTAGATTTGATAAATTTAGAAATGCTATCTTAAAGATTGGATTCGCTCAATCTCAAGTAGTCTGTAGACCCTACCTTGTTCATAAGGAGAGTTGATGGTAGACTTACAATATTGATAGTATATGCTGATGACATTGTTGTCACTAGTGATGACATCACAGTTATCCTCAGTACTGGTATTTTATCCCTCCCATTTGCTTATTCTTTGGTACAAGGCAAGGAAGGTAGGAGAGCTGCCATGATATAGACTTTTATTAGTGAGCATTCAACCTTTATATATACTAAGCCCAAACAAGGTTCAAGTAAACATGTTAATGAAATGACTGAAGTGGTCATCTGCAAATATTGTAAGAAACCTAAACATACCAAAGATCAGAGTTGGAAGCTAAATCCTCAATGAAAACCTGAAAGGTTTAAGACTGGGAAGAAAGGTAATACTCATGTTATTACTTCTGTTCAGTCTCTTGCTCAGCAGTCCTCTCATGATACATTGGATGTGATGGATAAACTAAGAAGCATTTTGATTCATCAAGAAAGGAGTGGGACGTCTACTTCTACTTGTTCATGCTCTCCTTCCAATGCTTATGCAAAATTAGGTACTGTACTTGCTTATTATACTTCACCTCCTAGCTCTTGGATTATTGACTTGGGAGCAAGTGACCATATGATTGGTATACCATCTTATTTCACCTCATATAAGATACTCTTAAGAAAAGGTAAGATAACGGCTGTCGATGGATCTCAAACCTCAATCTTGGATTTGAGTGAAGTCAAATTTATCGATAACCTTCCACTGAGTTCTGCCCTTTATGTCCCTTAATTGCATAGGAACCTTTTATCTATTAGTTCTCTTACCAAAACCCATAGTGGAATTTATCTTCTTGAACAAGCTGATGTGTTAGAATTTCTTTGGTGACTACTCTCGGTGTACGTGGTTGTATTTTTTGGAAAGAAGAGATGAGGTACCTTTCATTGTCAAGAATTTCTTTGGTATGGTGGAAACACAATTTGAGAAAAAGATTAAAATAATAAGGTCCGACAATGAAAAAGAGTACTTCAGAAGCATCTAAACACTTGTAGAGAAGGTTGTAATTCACTAGAGATAATGTTCTCATGTGCCTCAGAAAAATTGAGTTTCAAAAAGGAAAAACAAACAAGTGGTTGAAGTAGATAGGGGCTTGCATTTTCAAATGCATGTCCTCGACAATGTGATGTCCCGGATTTAGGTAATCTTGAACTTGAGCTCTTGCTACACTTGTTGAATTTGATACTTTACATTCTGATCATTTTGATCTTTACCTTCCTATTACAGTCCATAAGGGTTAGAGACAATGCACAAAGTCTTCATTTATTTATCCCATCTCTAAATATGCATCATATGCTACCTTATCTCCTTCCTATTATGCCTATATCTGCCATCTCTTTTGTTCCTATCCCTGATAATGTTAAAGAGGTAGTACAATTACCAGAATGGAAGGATGCCATGAATTAGGAGATGGGGGTTCTTATAATGAATCAAGCATGGGAAATTGGTCTTATTCCTAAGGACAAGGTTCTAGTTGTAAGTGGGTATACATTGTCATACATAGGGCTGATGGTTCAACTGAAAGGTATAAAGCTCACTTGGTAGCAAAATGATATAATCAAACCTATGAGATTGATTACCGAGAATTCTTTGCTCCTGTAGMCAAAATGAACTACATTCGAGTCATCTTGTCTCTTGTTGCCAACCATTCTTGCCCCTTGTATCAGATGGATGTGAAGAATGCCTTTCTTATGGAGATGTTTTGGAAGAAGTATATATATATATATARATATAGATATAGATATAGATATAGATATAGATATAGATATAGATATAGATATAGATATAGATAGATATATATAGAAGTATATATGCAATAAGCATCCTAGACGGTCAGATGAAGGTGTGATGCTTAAAAAAATCCCTTTATGGTCTTAAGCAATCTCCTAGATCTTGGTTTGATAGATTTAGAAAGGTCTTAATTATTGGATTCTTACAATTGCAAGCAGATCATTCATAAGGAGAGTTGATGCTTGTGTGACTATGTTAATAGTTTATGTTGATTATATTGTAATTATTGGAAATGATATCATAGGAATTGTTGAGTTGAAGTCCTTCCTTGCTTCTAAATTTGAAATCAAAGATCTTAGAATTCTCAAATATTTCTTTGGAATTGAGGTAGCAAGAAGAAAGAGAGGAATTTTTGTTTCACAAAAAAGTATGTTTTGGGTCTTTAGGAAGTGGGAAATTTGGGGTGCAAACTAGCTGAAACCTCTATTGATCCCAATCAGAAATTGAGAGCTAGAGATGGGGATATTCTTCTAGACAAGGGTGTATATCAAAGACTTGTTGGTCGATTCCTTTACCTCTATTTGACGAGACCTGACATATCTTATGTTGTAAGTGTGGTGAGCTAGTATATGCATGAGGGAATAACTTCTCATATGCAATCTGTTAATAGGATACTTGCCTATCTGAAGGGATTTCCAGGGAAAGGAATGTTGTACTTTAACCATGGGCATTTCAAGGTCGAAGCTTATATTGATGCACAAATTAGGTAGCTTCATTTGATGATAGACGCTCCACCTCTAGTTATTGTGCCTAGGTGGTAATGTGTTATCATGGAGTTGCGAGAAGCAGTCTGTTGTGGCGAGGGCCATTGTAGAGGCTGAGTATAGGGCAATGTCTCATGGTGTGTCAGAACTACTAAGGTTGAAGAACCTATTGTCAAAAGTGGGGATTCAAGCTGAAGTTCTAATGAGATTGTACAATGACAATCAAGCAGCCATAAACAAAGCTCAAAATCCTGTCCAACATGATTGTGCAAAACATTAAACACATTGAAGTCGACATGCACTTCATTAGAGAAAGGGTCATTGGTGGAGAAATTTGCTTACCCTTTGTTAGGTTAGGAGACCAATTGGCTGATTGTTTCACTAAGGGTGTTCCCAAGCCAAAACTTGATAACAGTTTATGTAAGTTTGGCATAATAGATGTCTATGCTCAGCTTGAGGGGGAGTGTTTAAAATGTTAGTCTTTTAATGATTAGAAATAGTTGTTTTTTGTAGGGGCTATTTAATCATATTGTTTCTAGGTGCCTTGTGAGGGGCATTCATGTGATTTTCTCATTCAATATAATTGTTCCTACTTATTGAAAATGTCTCTTCCTCTTCTTCTTCTTCTTCTTCTTCTTCTTCTTCTTCTTCTTCTTCTTCCCTACCTCAACTACTATTTTGATATTTTGATATTTTCAGTTTGGGATATAAGTAGAAATTGGAAGGAGGTGGCAGATTCTACTGTAACAAAGAGCATAATCTGCAAAGAATGGTCTCCGCTGCAAGAAGGTTTTACAAAACTGAATTTTGATGGTAGAAGTCTGGGGATCCTGGGCAATGAGGGGTAGGTGGGGTGTTTAGTGATGAGAGGAGTGATGTTATTGCTATTTCTCTGGACCAATTGGGGTTGGGGACTAAGGGCAGAGGTAATGGTAGTAGTCGAAGGGGTTAGGAGAGCAAAAGAGTTGAATGTTTRGAAACTAATAATAGAGGGGGATTTAAAGATTGTAATGGGATGGTTGATGAAGAGTGGAGTCATGTGGATGATGAGGAATATGACGGCGAAAGTACATTGGGTTCAGAGATCAGCTAATTTCCTGGCTGATGCAATAATCAAGAAAAAGGTGATGAGAGAGACTGTAAATGAAATTTGGGGGGTGGGTGGGTGGGTTGTAGCTCTTAATGATTATATATTCTCATTAATGAAATTTCTGTTATCAATAAATAAAAAAACAAAATTGTTTGGGTGTTTTATTTCATTTAGTTCTCTTGAATTTGTGTTGAACTTTAGGGGTCAATTTGGAAAGAGTACAAATACAAATTTGTACATTGCAAATACATAAAAAATAATACAAAATACAAGGTTTTGTACCCTACATTTTTATATTTGTACTCCTTCCAAACTGAGCCTTATTTTCTTAGTTATATATTGGCGTAATTAGCCCTCATTTAGTTATGGAACTGATTGGGTGTTTTCTTAGTTATTAGACTAAATTTTTTATTATATTTGGCAGAGAAAGAATGATTTTAAATCTCCAGAACTGCCACAGAGTGCGCCACCACCAAAAGAACCCACCTTCAATTGTCCAGTTTGCATGGGCCCACTGGTTGAGGAGATGTCGACTAAATGTGGCCACATCTTCTGTAAGAAGTGTATCAAGGCCGCTATACAAGCTCAAAGTAAATGCCCTACATGTAGGCGAAAGCTGACTATGAAGGACATCATAAGGGTTTATCTTCCAGCCACCAGTTAAGTTGACCATATTGCCAAACAGAAAGAATTGTATAAGTTGGTTTCTTGTTTTCTTTTTTGCCCCTTTTGTCTTTTGGCCCCTTTTTTGGTAGTCTCAGATGCTCAGATGCTGTGTTTGAGCAAATCCCAAGCACAGAGGACAGGTGGGTTCAATTGATAACTTTGTTCATGTCATTGCGCAATCTGTTTCATGTAAAGTTAAACATAGAATGGATAAAAATCATTGAGACATCTAAGTTTTCTTGTTATACTTGATTGCTTAAAAGAGGAAATGCGGACCTGTTACTTGTTTGACATATTGGAGTTCAGGCGTAAACAGTCTGACTTGGTTGGGCTTGATTCCCATACTATTGAACGATTTGATTGGTTTTCTGAAAAGTAACCCTTCCCAGGGTTAAGTTGCTTGTTATAGAAGTGGATCAATATGTCATCATTGATCATGGTGTTTATGGAAGGTGGTTGGGGATATTTGGGGAAAATTCTTCAAGTCTCACCTGGGTTATTTGACAATTACTTGGACCTCCCTTGACCTTAGCAAAACCTTCACCTTTCAAAGAAATATGCAAATACACCCTTCCGTCACAAGACATCTAAATTATGGCAACGTCCTTGTTACCTTAAAAGGCAGACTGGGACATATTACAAATGAACTTGTCCTTTTTTTTTATTCTTTTACTTGTCCTTCGTTATTTTGAGGCATTTTTGCAGAAGTTTTGTCTCATTTTGAGGCATTTTTGCAGTTTTGTCACAAACTCACAATACACCCTTCCGTTACAATACACTCTTTATGTTCTCTTCACTTTGAGGCATTTTTGCAGAAGTTTGTCTCATTTAGGCCATGTTTGGTTTGAAGGAAAAGATAAAGAAAAGGAAAAGTAGGGAAATCTATACAAAGTTTGTAAAGGTTTCCCTACTTTTCCTTTCCCTACCTTTTCCTTCAAAGCAAACATAGCCTTAAGGATGTCAATTTCCACGGTATCCACTCCTATGGGTTGAGGTTTCTTGTTTGAGAAACAGATTTTGGATCAGGAACGGGTTTTGGGATTTTACAACTTAAGCATTATTTGATTGGTTATGTTATTTTGCCTATTTATCGTTTATATGTAATGTGGCAGGAAATTAGATGCGGGTTCGGCTTGCCAACCGACCCGCCCCACCCTCAAATGCAGGAAGGGTAGTGGGTTTTGAGAAGGGTACGTCTTGGGAGGTTTGGGGAGGGTCCAGAGTTAAAAGACAATTGACTACAAACCACAGCGAAATCTGTTGAATGCGTATATGACATTCAATTGTTTTCAATGTACAAATTTATGGTGGTGCAATTGGTAAGTTGTCTAGCTAATTGTAGGGGAGATTTGCGATCAAATCTCCAGTTGCTAGTAGGATTGGGGTGTTATGGGTATGCAGGATGGACTACCCCCTTTTTGTTGCTTTATGAGAGAGAGAGAACACATTATTTATGGGGTGACTTGTGTGGCCTGGCTCACAAACGTATCTTGTGCATCATTATCAAAATTCCATTTCCTATCTTGTGCATCAAGAAACAAAATAACGTTTCGCCTACTAAAGCAAATAAACTAAAATTTAAAAGATTATCCCTTAGAATGACATACCATGCTCGAGGCCCACATGGAATAAATCAAAATGATAAAAATGCCCCTAACCACATCAGTCCAATTCCCAAGAGTCTTCCCCATGTCAAATTAGAACTATATGTTGGCCTTCTTATGAGAATAGGTCATTTAAGGCCTTGTCATCTCTCCTTGGTTTGAAAGAAGATCGAGATTAAGATGATGCAAGTCATCAGCTATAATCCATGTGCATTTGAAAGAGGTTGGTTACTTGGTTCTTCCACTTCACAAGAAATTTTTGACAACCCTCACTTGTAGAGATTAGCTTTTCATCAAGAAAAACTTTTGGCAGATTAGTAGATGGAACTGAATTGTAGATTAAGCAACGAGACTATGGGACAATCAATATGGCCATGGATATGCTCTCAAATTTCAACATTAAAGGTTGGACTAATTTCCATGTTGACAACTCTAGGACATAGGCACTAGAACTAATTTTCTTTGGTGATTTTGTAGGGGTTGCATTCATGGAGTGAAGCTTCTTATAAAATCCCTTGGGAAAGCATTCAGGATTTACCCTCCTGAAAATCAAGTAGACTTCTATGTAAATCAGCTTTCTTTTTGTATACATCATTGCTAACATTATTAGGAATGGCAATTGGGCCATTTTGGGGTGGGGACTATACTCCCCATCCCCGATTTTGATCCTTACTAGGGATAAAATGTTATCCTTTATAGACACCCCATTTTTGCACCCTCTAAGTCTGTTCTTCTCTTTGCAGCATTTTGATCTTCAAGCAATGCTTTAACCACTTCTTAGTCAACCTAGGGTTGTTTTGGGGATTTTTTGCTAAATCCGGACCTGCAAATTACTCTATCAGATCAATTGGCATGTGGAGCATGGAATTCCAAACCCAACAATGCCAAGATTGCCTAAACATGACACTGTTTATCCCTTCATTTTATGACCAAGAGCCAAAACCGATCTCAACCCTCAATTTGCAATCCTTCAGATCCTAAGCCTAACATCACAAGTCCAACTTGATAGATACATAGAGCTTGAAACATTGAGTCCAACAATACCAAGATTACCCAAACCCAATACTGTTCACCCCATAGTTTTATGACCTAGAGCTAGAACCAATCTTGATCCTTGGTTTGGAATCTTTTTGATCCCAGGCCGTGTTACAAATCTGAACAGACTGATATATAGAGACACAAAACTATGAATCCAATGATACCAAGATTGTCCAAATCCGACTTAACAGATACACAAAATTCTGAATCCAACGATACTGATGAGGGGCATTTTGGTCACCCCGCACAACTACTGACATGTGGACGTTGTTGGCAACACAACGTCCAACTCAGCAAGACAACTCGACAAGCCAACACGTGGCAGCCAACATCTGGTGTCCGACCAAGCTAGGGTGAGCTCGGCCCGCTAACAGCATTAGCTCCTCCAAAACCGTTTTGCATGCCACGCCCTCACGAGCATCGTTACCGTGACCGTAGGAATAGCTCGCCGAACTGTACGCCACAAGATCCTCGGGTGACCTATAACTCCCACGCGATTCTAGCAACTGATGGTCCATCATGCCTCAAACTGCGGAAACAGATTCGTAGAAGACTTAGAGACGTTGCCTGATGGCACCTGAAGCTCAGATAGCTATAAAAAGACCCCAGAACCACTCTAAAAGGTGATGGACACTAAAGCTCTTGAACTCTTTCACATATTCTCGTAGAAACCTCTATTCTGACTTAAGCATCAAAGTGTTCTCTTGGGTAAAACCTACCCAGACACTCTAATCTTTCTTTCTTCACAACTCTTTTCAGCTTGGACTTACAGATTCCAGCACGACAACACAACTCGACACTACCAGATCAGATCCTATTTCGAGCCTAGTTATCAGACATGAGAGAGCGAGCAGATCACGCATCACCAATTGACGCCGTCTATGGGAAACACAACAAAAAGCTTGTGTTTCTTTCTTTCTTCCATTCTTTCCCAAAATTTCCTCAATGGCATCTTCAAACAATCCTTCTACTAATAACAACATCAACGACCAGATCCCCACTATCGTGATAGGCCAGATTGATGTCCCTTGGCCTCCCACTAAAGCTCAAGGCAACATGAATGTGCCTCCTCTGCCTATTGACTCTGTAGCAGGCCCTGCGGCAGTCAATGTACAACAATTCAACGACTTAGTGATATGTGTGTAGACCTTGATCGAGCAAATAAGGTCCTGGGAGAACAGGTTTGCCTTCATTTTTGGACAACAAAACTAGCAGCAATAAATACTACACAACAACCAGGAGATGTTGCGGGATGGTTAGCAGGTGCCGCATTGACAATCAGCAGCAACCACTTAACAGCCAACGTTTATCGGCCAACGATCAACAGATACCATGCAACAACCAGAAAGTACTCAGGAATAGCCAGCAACTACCTCCTCAGAACAACGGCTTGAACCGTGAGGACCCACCTCGCCCACGAGTACGTAGCCAGGTTCAGGTCCTAGACAAAGTTGATGCCCGAGATCATGCCGATGCAATAGCTCGAAATGACCAAGTCCCGACAGAGAGCCGAGCTGAGGTTCCCGCTAGGACTGATGCCGCCAGTTCAACTAAATGCACCAAGAAGCTAAAGAAGCACACACACTGTGCCGAAAGAAAGGTTTAGCATGCCCATGCGAGCAACGAGGCTCAACATGGGGAAAACAACGCTGCAACCAGCACAATGATTCCTCTTTCAAAACTGCCCTGCCTGAAACGTGAGACACCACTGGGCCCCCTAAAATCCTAAAAGCCCCATGAACTAAGAACTCTCGGGCCCCGACCTTGGAGTCCTATAGGGGTAAGACAGGCCCAGTGGAGCACGCATACAGCTTCCAGGCACTCATTCTCCTTCATGGAGCAAACGACACCAACAAGTGCATAGTGTTCCCCACAACACTGAAAGAGGAAGCCTGGCTCTGGTACTCTAGTTTAACTCTCGGCTCCGTAAAAAATTGGGACCAGTTCGCCAAGATTTTTATCAATCAGTTCACTACCAGTAAGAGACTCCAAATCAACAACTTGTATGTTCAACGTCGTCTAGGAGTCGAACACTCAGAGAATACATCAGAAGGTTCAACATGGAGCGTCTACAATTTCTAGACCTCGATCCCATTGTACAGCTTATAGCATCAAAGAAGGGAGTAAAACATCGCAAGCTGAAATGGGAGCTTGAGCTATGCCCACCAGCTACCATGGACGCATTTCTGGACGTAGCCCATCGATTCATCATGGCAGAAGAGGCAATGGGATCTGAGTTTGATCAAAATGGGAAGAGAAAGCGAACTGAAGAAGAAGCAAGCAAAAGTGGAACTAAATGGAGGAGCAATTCACCAAGAAGCAGACGCAACAGCTCACCATGCCGAAGAAGCAGGTCACCAGCTAAGAGGTCGAGTAGGCGATCAGCCACACCTCCAACCTACACCAGAACATTCACACCACTGAACACCAAGAGGAAAGAAATTTTGATGTAAATCAAGTCCAAAAAAGTACTGCCACTTTCACAAAGATGTGGGGCATGACACAAAAAACTATTGTAATTTGAAGAACGAGATCAAGGATCTCATCAAAAGGGGCTACGCGAGGCATTTCATCAAAAATGAAAGGCGACCTAAAGAAGGTACTAGCGGCCAAGCACCTCAGACCAGTAGATAGCAGGAGCCAGCTCCC